TAAGGTTTGCACAAGCTTGTTAGGATCACATGCAGGTTGTCTGTCTGGGGCTGAGATGTCTCCAGAGTACCAAAGGACCTCAGAAGGAAAGAAGATGAAGACAAATGCCATAGTGAGAAAACTGATGGCACCTCCTTTGATGTCTTTTGTCTTGTTTTTTTTTTTGGCCCAGGAAGTGCAAGAGGACAGCCTTGGGCTGAAAGGGGAGAGCAAGGGATTGGATGTGAGATTCAAATTTTTATTTGAACTAAGCTGGAGTTTTTAACGCCTGAAAATGAGACTGCCCTAGAACTAAAAGTGCCTGGGATACGGTTGGGGGCGTGGCTGGGGATCATGAAGCATATTAAGGAAAGTAGTGGGAGAAGATTCCAGCTGTGTTGTGTTTAGACTCTACAGGAAGTTCATTCTCCTAGCATCATCAGGTGCAGAAAGAACCAAAACCATTTCATCTGGTGGTCCACTCGGCACATTGATCCAGTGGAGCACTGATCTCTTAAATGGAGACAGAACAGCTTTCTTTGTGACCATAAACATGTGTGTAGCATTTTCCATTTCAGAGTCAAAAGAGAATGGTGGGGCAGAATTCAATGTACAAAGCAACTAAAGAGCTATTTGTACCAAAAAAAATTGTTCTGATATTTCTTTTTTCTCTGCTTCTTTTGCCTTCTTTTTGCTTCAAGAACTGAAGAAAATTGTTGTTTGTTGGAACAATATCAAATTCTACTTATAGACTCAATACCACCTAGATAAGAAGAACGAAAAGCAGCTCGGGAGGGAAACAGAAATGTGGGGACATGTCGATTTAACCTGAAAATTTGCTCCAAAGTGGAAAAGTATACTTGTGATATTACCAATGCTTAAATTCCTGCACAACTCACTTAAATTGATGATGATGATAAGATAATAACTGGTAATTTTCACACACATTCTCTTATTTAATACAAAGGATGAGGTTGTAATATTTTTCCCCAATGTCTAAGTGAGGAAATTAAACTGTCAGCAACCTTGCTGTGTTCCCAATGCTAGGAAGGGAACATTAGACGGTTATCAGATACTTAGTTATAGGTGAAACTTTCTTTTAAAATCTGTCTGTACATTGTAATGATTTGTTACAATTTGAATGATTAATATAATAGCAATAGTAAAGTTATAAACATCAAGATTTGTAGCAAGAGCTTTGGAGATAATCGAGACCACACTACCACACTGTGGAGAAAGAAACCTTTCTGGATGACAAATTGCAGAGCTCCATCTTGTCTCCTTTACGTACTTCCTTCCAGTGTTACAAATACGTAACTTGTTACAAATACGTAATTTACAGTAAGTTGCGTATTTGTAACACTGAATGTAAGTCCAAGTGCATGGGAGATTTGCTGCTGCTGTGTTCACTTTACCTTTTTGCATTTCTGTCATGTCATATTTTTCTTCTTTTTTTTGAGACAGGGTCGTGACATGTAGCCCAGGCTAGCCTTGAAATCACAATCCTCCTGCCTCAACTCCCTGAGGTGAATGCTAGGATTATAGGCATGCCCGACTCCATACTGTGTTTTTCAAGGTCACTTCCTAAAATGTAATTTTCTCTCCTGTCATCTTTTAAACATTTTTTTAAAAATTTATTTATGTTTTATTTTATTGTGCTGGGTTGTAGCATTTACAAAGGTTCTTACAATGTATCAAATATGTCATACTTGAGTTTACCCCCTCAACTGCTCTCTTCCCCCCCCATTTGAGAAATAGTTTGAACAGGTATCTTTTTTCTGTTTACATTCATGTGTACAGTGTCATCTTTTTCAATAACAAAGCATTTGTATTCTGTTTCAAACATATATGTTGGTTTGATACTCATACTTCATAAACACAGGGTTGTTACATCTTTGTCTCTCTGTGTAATCTCTAATTAAAACTTGCAAGAGAACTGCATTATAAATAAACACAAATATGTACTAAATATATACATATATGTATTACTGTTTTATGTCCTAATACTAGAAGTTGGTTTAAACCAATTTACTTTATCTTCATTGACTACCAAATGTTTTCATGACTAGAAAACTCTAGATATACCCTAGAGAAACATTGCAAGGAAAATTAAATTTTTGATATGTAGGAAAGAGCAATGTTAAGGTAGAAATGCTTTATTAAAGCTACTTTGGAACTTAGAATTTTGTAATAAATAAGAGAGCTTTAAACAGGTGTAAAACTTTCAACTCAACATCCTAAGGTGAGACATTTTCTCTCCCAAGTAGCTCTGTCAATTTTCAAAGTTTAGTTGGTCCATTAGAACAGGCTGGTCTTTTAAAATACAGACATGTACTTCATAGAGGCAGAGTACGTCATTGAGAGGGTGTCTTAGGATATTGGTGTCCCTTTTAATCTGTGCTGCCTGACAAAACTTTCTCAAAACTCAACACTTGGTTCAACACCATTAGTAGCTCTAGCTATGTGTGGTATCCAAGCAAAAGAAGCAAGAAGCAGGCGCTACGAGCCTAGCAGAGAAGAGTGCTTTGTGCATTTTTCATTCTATTTCTGTTCTCTTCCATAAGATTTTAATGACTAAAGTATGTCATGTATATAGAACTCATGACAAAATGGAGAAGCAAGCCTCCCGTGATTGAGGGAGCTGCAGAAATAGACGAAGTCTTTTAAATGCATCATCTGAACACAATTTAGCTTCAAATGTGTTTTTGCTAAAATGCTTTTTAAAAGCAGAAGGAGATTTACACTATAAAAAGTTTAAAAGGATTATTCATCCCAAACGGGTTATTTATATTTCAAGTGAATATTTATAGAGAGCCCCTGAATTAAGCAGTTCTCTCTGTCTCGTTTTAAACACAATTAACAATATGCAAAGTAAGGCAATGCTTTGTAGAGAATTTGGGAGCATAGATATTACCACTGGCAGTCATTTCAGTGTCTGTACACTGAGTACATAAATGAGGAATGGCTAACCTGTTATGCACTTAATTAATGAACACCTGTACACAATGAAAGCTTGGCTGGTTTTATGGGAGTCTGAAAACCCAATCAGGCAATTAACGTTTAACCTAAAATTAACCTGATTGAAAAGTAGCAGAAAAAACAACTTGTAAGATAAAATTGTCAAAAACAGAAAATTTTGATTTCTTGTGAATGAATCTTTTCCAGCATATTTAGGGTATTTTACCTTTCATTTTCTTGGGTGCTTGACTTTTATATGGAAAAAAATCTGCATATCTTTTGCATGGTTTTAGATTGCAATGTAGTACATAAGTTAGTGTTATAAATTATCATTTGGGATTCTTTTTGTCTTAAAGGACAGTGTATAGCAGGCTCTATACCACCACTTGAGCCAACTCCCAGCCCCTCTATTGTTTTGATAGTGCAGTAATTATAAGCTTTAATTTTTTCAAGTCAAAATCATATTTTGATCCAGTTCTACAAATATCACATAAAATGGACACAGTTAATTCTTAGAGTTCTCTGTTCATGTGTTTCTGACATAGACACTGGGGTAAGAAAGGGGTACATAAAGGAAAAAAAAAGTTCCTTTTAAAATGTGAAACAGCCAGGTGTGGTGGTACATACCTGTAATCCCAGTGCTTGGAAGCCTGAGACTGGAGGATTGCAAGTTCAACCTGGGCTAAATAGAAATATCCTGCCTCAAAAAAAAATTTTGAGTACCAGCACCAGCACCAGGTAGTGTTTTAGATTCCAAATACAGAAGAGTAAAGAAATAAGACAAAACTTTCATTTCCAGTGCACTTTTATTTTGAAATTCATGTATTATGATCAAGTATTAAAACATTAAAATTGTTTTTCCTCCCTGTCTCTGACACCTACTATGCCCCTCCCTCATTCCTCCCATTTTCACATTTTCTCTCATCAGATTGCTTCAACCTTGTGTCCTTGAAGTCAGTGCCTTATTAGGTACTTTCTTCACATAATGTATTTATATATTTTAACTGTACATATTTGTGGGTATAGATGATATGTGTGTACAATGTGTAATGATCAAATCAGGATAAGTAGCATTTCCATATCCTACACACTTATCATTTCTTTGTGTTGAGAACCTTGGAATTCGTCTAGTTCTTTATAAAATTAAGATACAATTCTACAGGTACATAAAAGATAGACTCTTCAGGGTAATTAAAACTTAACTCAAAAAATTCTTTCATGTTTTGCTCCTTCCAGGGGATAGGCCAGATATCTCAGTCTTTGTTGTTGTTTTATGTGATACTAAGGATCTGACCCAGGGCCTCATGCATTTCAGGCAAAAACTGTACGACTAGAGCCAAGTCTCTAGCCCTTTGATTTTAAACAGCCTGGGCTGGCCTCCAAATGCCAATCCTCTGCCTCAAAGACTAGCTGAGAGTATAGACATGCACTAGTACACCTGTCTTTAATTTGCTTTCAAATAAAGCTGTTAATAATTCCTTTTCTGTAATCATTAGAAACACTTTTACTAGAAATACTTGTTATAAAGCACCAGGACCCTTTGTTTTCCAAGTCAGAAAGCAGATGCATATTTATTATGCACAGAGAGGTCAAGAAAACAATAGGCCAAAGAAGGGGCATGTTTGTTTTGCAAAGTGTGATTTATTTAGGTTAAGTGGTGAAGGGCAAAATAGAGTTCTAAGAAAGACTCTAATGTAAAGGAATGTATCACTGTGGGAAAAGGTGAGCCTACCTATTCTGAATTCCATGGATATTTTATACTGAATATATACATGAGCAGAACAGTTGCTCAAATTTCATGGTAACTTGAAGATGGTGCCAGGGTTGGGAGAAAAACTAAAGCCTCTAGATGCCTGCACTTGTGGAAACCAGGAAACAAGGTCTGAAAACAAGTAAAATGAAGGAATTACTTTAAAGGTACTGATTTCATGATATATAGGCAGATCAGAACAAATTATATTAAGATGCGTACTAAACAAATCATAGCTAATTCAATTTGCCTCTAAAGTGATTAGAGATGTGCAGAATAGAATTCTGAAATAGACTTGTCTCCAGATTCTCACCTGCCTCATTTGTGCGAATCATTCGAGAAGGGGTGCTTGGGTCTCCAGTCCCAATTGGATTGGTGGCCACCACTCGAAACTCATATTCCACCCAGGCATTTAGGTCCACTGCCATGGCCGATTCCATGTCTCCTGTTACGATTTCTGGGACTGCAGAGAGGAAGGACATTTCATGTCATTAGGAGGACTGGAAAAATGATACAAATGCCAATCAACAATGTCACCATTACTCATCATTCTAAACATGAGCATAACACCTCTATGTCATTAGTAAAACGAACACCAATTTTCAGGAAATAAGCACTTGCAGATTTCCAAATTTGTTGGAGTTAATTAGAATTCCTCCAACACATAATTGGCCATTATATAACTAGTCATTATTTACACCAAAAATCATATTGTCAAACCTCTGAGCCCCAGAAAAGAAGGCAACACCTACTATAATTAAACGAAGAATTCTTCAATTTTTAGGGACATTTCTTGAGCTGTCTGCCTCTCCCACTTCTGGCGAACATAATCATTTGGCATTCCAAGCAGCAAATGAAGACTGCACCTCTTTAGTTTAAAAGCTACAGTGTGTGGGATCTAAGTGGGGGATCTCCTTGGAGTGACTTTTGGTACTGTGTTTCGATTTTTGTAAAAACGTGAAATTGTCTGTCAATGTAGTTACCGTGCAGTGAAGTACTTCGTACACAGTACACGTGTAGGACTGCCTTCTTGTTCATTCATCTCTGCTGTCTAGGAAGCATTTCAAGAAGAGTGTTACAGGATAAAAAGGGCAACATGGAGAATCTCCCTTAGAATTTGCAAAAATCCACTGGATTCCTAGGGGTCCTTGATTGCTACATAGCTGGTGGGGGAGCAAGGGTGGGGCACAGAGCTATTAATTGCCCTCAGTTCTGTTCTGGTGACATAGAATGAAATCAGCTTGGATTTCCCAGGAAAATTTCTTCTGAAATGAGTCAAAAGATTGTTACCAAATGAGCAGCTCTGTAAAGGCAAAGGAACAGAGCATAAGCAGGGTGGCCTAGCTGACAGACATAACAGAACTGTAGAGCTGATTTCATAAGAGTTGATGTGAAGATGTGGAAAAATGTCTCCTCTTACTTCACTGACATCTGAGCAGTATTTTTGGAGCCTTAGAGGTAAGGGAAAAGGCCACTCTTCAGTCCATAGGCTGTGAAATGCTGAGCTAGACTGGACAGGCATTCAGATGGGAGAGACACTCCCAGGCTCTCGGCTCTCTCTAGCTTCCCGTGTCCAGTACTTGCCTCGGGTTTACCACTGTTTCCTTTGCTTCTATTGAGAACAGACATCTCAAACAACTCCAGACTCCTGGGCCACACCTAGCCCTTGTACTCTAACTCCCACAGGATTCTACAACTTCCTCTTCGCCCAGTTTATGTCCCTCCTTAACTCTTGCAATTTTCCCCTGTGCCTTCGGAATTCATGACCCATCAACAGGAAATCCCCCAAATGTCCTCTGAATGTTGCTCCACCATGTCTCTCTAACAGACACTGAAGACATCTCACTCTTCCCGAGAGGTTGGTCCTCCACACACACACCACACACACCACACACACACCACACACACCACACACACACCATACACACCACACACACACACCACACACACACACCACACACACACACCACACACCCACACACACACACACACCACACACCACACACACCACACACACCACACACACCACACACCACACACACCACACAGCACACACAAAACACACACACCACACACACACACACACCACACACACCACACACACACCACACACACACCACACACCACACACACACCACACACCACACACACACACACACCACACACCACACACACACCACACACACCACACACACACACCACACACACACCACACACACCACACACACACACACACACACACACACACACCACACACACCACACACCACACACCACACACACACCACACACCACACACACACCACACACCATACACACCACACACACACACCACACACACACACCACACACACCACACACACACACCACACACACACCACACACACACCACACACCACACACACACACCACACACCATACACACACACACACACACACACACCACACACACACACCACACACACCACACACACCACACACACATGAGTCTAGACTCATATGTCCACCTCCCTGTTTGCAGTTCCCATGTAGGGGCCTATCCACGTGTCACACTTAGTACGTCCCAAGCGTGTTATCTCATTTCCACCCCATGCTGGTCCAGTCATGCTGGCTTCAGTCACTTGACAGTAACTCCATCCTAGAGTTGGTCAAGTAAAAAATCTCACGGTCGTCTTTGAATTATTTTTCTCTTAAATTCTTTACATCCAGATTGTTAGGAAATCCCATGGGTTCAACCTTCCCAATGCTTTCAAATTCTGAATGTTTTTGTGGCCTCTGCTTCTGTCCCTCTGAAGCACTATTAACCCCTCAGCAATACTTTCCTCACAGTGACTCACCTTCCCTTCCACAGTCCATTTTCAACACAGTTTGAATGAATGCATTAACAGATAAAACTTAGAATGCCCTCCATTTTCTGCGTTTCTTTCAGGATACACTATAACTTGGTTCTGCTAACCCTTCCAAACACATCTTCTACCACTTTCCCCGAGGCTCTTTCTGCTCCTGCCTCACTAGTCTTCAAAAGCACCTACAAATGATGGTCCTAACACATTTATACTGGATGTTCTTCTAGTCGGGCTCCTCTCTCTAGATATTGGCACAGTCAAATCCCTGCCTCCTTTAAAGTTCACGCAAACGTACCATCTTAGTGAGGCATGCACTGACCACTCTATTTCAAATTGCAACCTCCTGTTAGGACCTGAATTGTACCCTTCTAAAATTCCTGTGCTAAAGTCTTAACTCCCAGTGTGGCTGTGTTTGAAGATGGGTCTTCTAAGGAAGTAATTAAGGTTAAATAAAGCCATAAGAGTGGTGTTCTGATCTTGTTGATTTTTTTCTTCCACAGATGAGTCTGATCTTATTGTTCTTAAGAGAGCATGTGTGTGCATGTGATATTTCTGCCTCTGTTTCTCTCCCAGTATTTTTCTCTGTCTCTGTTTCTTTTCTTCTGTCTTTGTCTCTTTCTTTCTGACATGACAGAAAGTGAACTTCTATAAGCCAAGAAGGGAACCCTCAGGAGGAACCAAATTTGCCAGCACCATGGTCTTAAAATTCCCAGTCTTCAGAACTGTGAAAAATACACTTCTGTTATTGAATGCACTTCATCTGTGGTATTTCATTATGGCATCCTGTGCTGACTAATCTGACCCTACTGTAGTTGTCCTGATATCCCTTACTCAACACGCTTTCTTTCTTTTTTCTTCCAAAGCACTCATCAATTTCTAAGTTACTGTGTGACTTATTTGCTTCTTTTGTTCTGTTTATGGTTTGTTCTCACCTATGAGAAGCCCACCTGTACAAAGGCTGGGATTTTGTTATGGTCGTTGTAATTAATAAATCCCAAAATACCTAAATCACTGCCTTGATAGTGCCCATAAGTTTTTATTGAGTGAGTGAAAGTAGAGTTCAAATTGCCTGGTGTGATCAAAATTAGCAAAGTTAATTTTTGCTTGAATCTTGATGTAATTACTGTAAGCTTTATGTTGAAAAAGAAAATACTTATAAAATATTGTTCCTCCCAAGGCTACACATTTATATTCTCTTGGTCATACCTGTCAGCCTATATCTTCCACATCATCTTTAATTTTAAGCTCTCTTTAAAATAAAATTAAAGATACAAACAGATTTGGAAATTCTAAATACATTGTTTCTTGTAAGGGATGTAAAACAATTACAAAAACATGAGTTGAAGGTATTACTATTCATAATTAAATATTAAGCAATGTAAAATAACTTAGAAACAAAGTTACTTTTCATTAAATCAAGTTTGATTTGAAATGTAATATTGTGAGATTAAGGATAATAATTTTTACTGAAGAAGGTATTTTTAAAAGCTTTGCAGGCATCTTTTTATAAAGATAGTCTTTCTGGAACCCTGGGGACAGCTTAGTTCCAAAGAAAATACGTGCTTTAGAGAAAACATGGCAGTGATTAAAGACAAGGGAGGACCACCTACTGACTCAGGGAAGAAGTCTTGTTGAAATGTCTGCTTTAGTAAAAGAATCACATCCAAGAATTTAATAACATAAATAAGCATGTTTAAAAATTTTAATTAACCAGTCAATCTGTAGAAAACATATCCACAATTAGAAGACATATAAACGGACAGAAGACTATTTAAAAGACTATCTGAGTGTAGTAAACAAAGGCCAGTCAGTTCTGTGGGTGTAAGTGATTTTATACTATGCAGATTCAGTTGAAAGCTGAGTTATCTAATGGACCTAAGAAGAGCAAGCTACCTTGCTTTCCTCTCTTCCCAGTTTCCAAAGAAAGAATGCATCATATTTTTCTGTTTGTATGTTGAAATGAGTTGAGGCTCACACTGAAGTTATAAAAACAGTTCATAGAGCTGCTGTGTACCACTCCCCAGGTTCTCCAATCATAACGTCTTATACAGTCACAGAACTATTATCAAATCAGGAAACAGACATTGGAGTGAAGCTTTCAAATACTTCAGGCTTTATTTGGATTTCATCGGTTTGGTGTGCAATTTTTCTCAGTATTAATTTCTATGGAGTTCTTTGAAATTTTATTTTATAGATTTAAGCAATCATCAGGACAGCCAGGATTAGAACCAGTCCATTGCCCTACCTCCTGTGCTATGTCATATGTCAGTCTGCATTATGACAGAGAATCTAACATAAAAAGTGCATTATTTCAATGCTACTTTTGAAATGCTTGCTTTAGTTGCATGATTTTAAAAAATTATTTTCATCCCTAATAGTTTTCTTTTATGTTGTAAACCTAAACTTCCCCTCACTTTCCAAATGTGACTATAAAAATGACAGGCACATATAAAATCACACTCACCTGAGGATTAATAGATAAGTATTTAGCATGAAATTTGAAAGTGTGTAAGACTACAGAATGGAATCTTCAGAGGTAGTTGCTAACACTGACTGTGTGCTTTTGTTGTAGGTTTAAATTGATTTGTCTGTTCAGAAGTGAAATATAAAATATCAGTAAAATATTTGAGTTTAGTAACAATAAAAATCAACCAGAATATTGCGGCAGTGGAGTGGTACATTAACTTAGGTAAATGAGATTTGAGCAAAAAAATAGTTTTGTAGAGAAGACTACAATTAAGGAGAGGGAAAATATATGTACATGCATAATATAATTCAGATTTTTCTTGATATTTAGGCCCCTGTATTAACTTGTACCTCAGTGTGATTATCATCGTAGTATACTAGGCATAAATATTTGCTTTGTAAAATACATAATTGTGGCATTGGCCTCATTCCTGGATGTGTTATAGGCTTATAATTCTCCTACAGACCCAGGAAGTCAAGGAACATCTCTGGGTATATCAGAACGACATGAGCAGATTTACCCACGAATTCCCATACCCTCCACCCCATTGCTCCCATCTGAACCTTAATGTAACAGCTCCATGCTTTTGCTCTACAATTTGGAAAAGGACCCAGTTTCAGATCTACGGTTGTGAGCTCACCTCACTGATCCCTGACTGAAGCCCACTCTTGCCACATGGTTCCTAAAATGGTGGTGGTCAATATTGTAATAAAAATGAGTTTCTGGAGTTCAAAAAAGGTCCTAGTTATCTGGTAAGCAAATCTGCCTCTTGAGACAGGAAGCTGCTCTGCTGTATCTGCCATTGCTTTAGGATTTCTTACCTGTCTTTACAGTTTGCCAGCCCAGGGAGAAGGGGCTGCGAGCCTGCAGGTTGTAGGAGGAGATGGGGCTGTGGTTATCAGCTGCTGGACTCCAGGAAAGTGTGGCTGTCCTTTCGGTGATTTCCTCCACAATTACTATCCCAGGTGGGCCTGGGGGTCCTACAGACAAAAGGCAATGGATAAAGCTAAGAACACCTTGTGAGCAGCTGTGAGAAATTATATTTCCAATGTGGACCTCATCAAATTATGTGACTATCTTAATGAAATAATGAAATATGTATTTAATTATGAAAACTGACAGCAAAAAGTTATGCCAGTTGGTTTCTAGGATTTCTGGGGAAACAATTATGGATTGAATATTTTTCTGACACTGTGCCTGGGGTGACTACCAATTAGCACTGTGTTTTATAAAAAAAAGTAATTAGAAGCAGACACAAGGATATGAGTGCCAATATCAGTTTCAGGTATTAAAAGGAATTGCAGCATAAAGAGGCAACAACAGATAGGCAGTGCTGTGAGGAACACAGACAATCCCATTCATACAAGAATGCTACACTTGGACGAGCCAATTTTCATGTTCAGAAAACCTAGTACAAGCACTGATGCATTCTATCAAGTAGCTTAGACTCTAAAAAAGAGACATAGAAAGTCCTAAAATAACTGACAAGGTAAAGACATATACCAGAAGTAAGGTATACAAAAATTTTTGTGGGGAATCATGCTTTTTTTTTTCAGTAGGGGTGGGGAGGGAGTGAATCACAAGAGGTTAACTCACTTTTGGTCATGAAAGAATGGTATAGAATTGAGATGAGTCCTTGTGCACGCAGACTTCATCTTCAGGAAACAACCATGAAATGATTTATGGAGAACTGTTATAATTCTTAAAATAGTGATTTTTAAATAGTTTTTTAAAAATGCACAGCTATTTACATTTTAGGGGCTAAAAGTAAAATGTAGAAAATTCAAGTTGTTCAAATGCTTTTATGTTGACAGAAAAAATACACTTCTAAGTATTTTAAGACACTAATTTCTAAATTGGTCCTTATGTGGCAAGTTGCTTTCTGGATTTGGTGATTAGGAGGTCAGAAGTAAGGACTGAACTAGACTTCAAGGAGCTTAAGAGATGGTTGGGGGTTGAAGAAATGGAACAGACAGTGAGACCTCTCAGTAGAGACTGTCAATAGGAAGGAGAAGTGAGGTGGAGAAAGAGTTTAATGAAAGGAAGTTACATGGCTCACAAGGGCAAATGACATTTTTAGGAGATGAGAGGAGCCAATGGCAAATGACAGAGACCAAAGATTTGAAAGATAAGGCATGTCCCACCAGGAAGGTAATATACACTTGGGAAAGTGGACAGAAGTATAGAGGACAGCCTTAAGAAGTGGCAGCTTTTCCTCTAAAAGAAATGAAAGAAGAAAGAGTGACATTTAAAAAAACAAAGCAGTTGTTGTAGCAAGGAGATAAGTTAAAGGAACTCACTTTGGAAGGTACTATTTTTTTTTTCATTAAAAAGGAACCTAGGACTCTCTGAAAGTGAGGTGAGTGGGTAAGATGAGGTTGGAGGTTGGAGGACGACAGGAGATGTTTTGGACAGGCACATGGGTTTGCAAAGAAGAGGGAACACAGAGATTCTGGAATAATCCTGCAGGTCAGCTTTGGTTGGAGTACATCATTTTGATGTGGAACCGAGCAAGTCAACCCAGGTCCAGGACTAGGAAAGAAGTTAGTAGGCTACATGCAGGTTTAGGAGTTTGGAAGTGTATTATCATTTATCACCAAAGCTGTGGGGGACTGTGGAGTTAAGTGAAGTAGGGAGTCAGGAGAAGCCAGAAAGGGGCTGATGGACTAGAGTAGGAGGAAGGAGTCAGGAGATTGGATTATTAGGGAGGAATATCTAAGAATAGGAACTTTGTTTGTGAAGAGAAACTGCCAGAATTTGTGATTTACTATTTTGTAGAAGCAGGGTAGTTTTGAGTGCTGTTTTGATTGCAGGGGTAAGGTGGATAATATGTCTGGGTTCATAAGATCTGGGGCTTATATAAGAGTATGTTCGATGCATTAACTGTCAATATTGAAACCATTAAAATAAATGGCCAAGTGTTAGGACTGGAACCCCACCCTTTCAGGCAGCCTACTGGAAATCCCCCATCACTTACTGGAAGGACCACTCCTAGCCCCAAAGGAAAGACAAACACTCATGTTGCCAGGGTCATCTTCTCTAGCTTCTCCTAGCAATTGTTATCCCTGGAATAATTTTCCTGCCCAGCTGAACTTCTCTCCAGACCTCTCCCCTATATCTACTTTAGTCTGTAAGCGAGAGTGGGGTCCTGGCTTTTGCTACATACTTCTCTCTTCTGGGTTGCTTCCCAAGTAAAACCTGTGCTGGCGTTTGTGCTATTAAAAAAAAAAAAAAAGTGGCCAAGGCTAAGGTAAGGAAAAGAGATCCCAGTGCTGGAGAAGTTGTCTTCAAGTTGTTAGACGCTGCTGTGACGGGGATGTGAGGAAGCTTCAGTAATAATGACGTGGTAATGAGATAACTGTGATAATGACACTGATCGCTATCATGACCTCAATATCCTGTACTATACCAGGGGTTTCCCAAACATATCTATGCTACTGTGAGGTGGGCAGTGCTTTCCCTATTGGAACTTTGAAGAGGTTACTTTGTTAATAAATAATAGTTTTGAAAGCATTTTCTAGTTGTACAGGGGGGTTCACTGGGACATTTCCACATTATGATTACAATGCATCTTGGCTAGGTTCAGCCCCACCGTCATTCTCCCTCCCCCTCCCTTCCTTAAAATGATTTCAACAGGTGTCATTGTTATATTTTCATACAAATATATAAAGTACCTTGACCATGTTCTCCTACCTTTTAACCTCCTCATTTCCCCTCCCTTTTTCCACTAGCATCGAAACCCTACTGGGACCTGTTTTAGCTTCCTGTCCTTTATTTTTTAAAGTGTATATTCATTGTTCAGTATATAGTCAATACCGTTACTATATGTTAGGCTTTATGCTAGGCACTGCGACCCAGAGTCCATTCTAATGAATGGAAGTTATTGCCCAAATCACTCTGCTAGTGAACAACATGGCAGATATTTGAATATGGATCTGACTATAAAATCTGATTTGTTGAAAGAAGCAAGGAGTATTGAGGACCTTCCTCCTCTCACTGTTATTCTGGGGAGTAGTTTCCACTGAAGGAAGGAAAGAAAAAGAAAAAGTAGATGTTACAGAAAGGTACAAATTATGGAGAAGAGACAGAGGTATCATTTGAAGAACACATTAAGGACCTCCTGGTAGTCTGTGCTTAAGTCAACTCCTCACTTCTTTCCTCCTGTTTATGCAACTCATTCCCTTATTGCAAAGTGGAGTCTATTCTTTCACTTCCTTAAATCTGTCCTGTGACTGCTGGCTCTGGTAGAAAGCTGAAGAAGTGACATTGTGTGACTTTTGAGATGAGGTCATTAGAAACTTTGAGCTTCTAGAATATTTGTTATGAGAAAAGCTAGCTGCCAAGTTTGAAGTCTGATTACAAAGAGACTACCATACTATAAAGAACTCCAAAATGGTTGTTTGGAGCAGAGGGAGTGTATGAATAGGAAGTGATGCCCTCTGGCTCCAAGCTCTTCCAGATATCCCAGTGCAGGCACTAGATGTGGGGAGGCGGGAGAGGCCTCCAGAGGATTCTAGCAAGTACTGCCTGGCTGGACCTGTCAGCTGCCCAAGCCATGGGAGAAGGCAGTAGATGGGGGTTTCAAGATAGTAAATTTTGGGATAGCAATGGCTATTTGGAAAAGACTTCAAGATAATTTGTTTTGAGGGTTTGCTCACAGATAATGAACTCTGTCAGGATGATCTTCAAATACTATGAAGAAAAAAAAAGACTTGAAATTTAGATACTGTGTTTATATAAGAATAATGGCCAACAAACTCATTTATTAAGCTCTTCTATGGTGTTCAATTTATTCTGTTCTATTTCACACATTGTATTTATTCATCTCTCCAAAGAGCATTTGTTAACAATTACCTGATGAGGAACACTGAGGAAAACAACTATTTAGATAATTTGCCTGTCTCAGCCATCAGGTTCTATAACAATGTTTAGATTAGCCCTCTTTAAAAAGGCAAATTTTTAATAGATAATAATTCTTCTAAATAGTCTTTAAAACTTCAGTTGGTAAAGTTTTCTAAGAGATTTTCAATATAGTCAGTAAAACCCAAATACTTTTCTCTATATGCCAAAATATATGGTCTTTAGCAAAGTAACCAGGAAACAAGGACAAAGAATTATGAATCTAGGACACTGTTTGTGACTGTTGAATTACTTCCAGTTGTGAAGTATTAATGAGTAGTTGCCCGATGATAATGTAATATTTAAGTTACGTGTCCTTATGTCAAAATACTAGGTGGACACGAACTGTCTCATGTTCAAGACTATTCAGTAACAGAGGAAATGTTTAAAATCTAATAACTAAACAAAATAGAATGCAAAATTGTATGCAAACAAAATTGTGTCAATATTTTTTTAATACTCAGAGGAAAAGGCTAGAAAAAATGCTTAACTTATTTGAAGATGCGTATACAAGTGATTTAAACCTTATTATTTATGCTTGTTTATTTCACTAAGTTTGTATAATAAGCATGTATTTCTTCCAAAATTAGTTCTGAAGTTGTTATTTTAGCGAGTCCCCAAATCACACGATGTTGTGTGCTAGCTAAGAGAATAAACACGTGCTGAGCGCAAGTGGAGATTGGTGCGCGTCACGGGAGGGGGGGTGGGAACTTGTTTACAGAACAGCAAAGTAGGGGTTCAGCCCTCAGTGTGTTAAAATCCAGAGGCAGAGGTCTTTCTCAAAAAACAAATCTAAAGCAGTGATAGCTGTGTTCAAGTGTCTGGAAGTACATTTTTTATCTCATTATTTCTCTGTTGTACTAGTTGCAATCATTTTTCTGTAATTTTCACTCATCTGAACATGGCACTTGACATATACTGGGCCCTCAATAATTATTTGTAAGAGAAAATAGGAAAGGAAAGGAGAGATGGAAGAATGAAAAATGGACAGAAGGAATTACATTTAAGTTTGCAATACTGTACTATAAGTAAAACATGTATTAAAATATAACTAGACAAAGATGCTCTATAATAGTATCTT